TGCTAACAGCTGATGTTGGTTGTGGTTCGCATTGAAGATGACATCACGGCAGTTTTACGCAACAGTTTTTTCCACAACTCCATAACCCTTCTGAACTTTCAAACTCAGAACTAGCCAGGGTCCTCAAATCCATGAGTCAATTAGTACAAGCCCACCACCACACTCCCCTTTGAATGTCATGGGGCTCCAACCCACAGCACCTCACAATCAGGGAAAATTCACTTCTTGTAACACATTTACAATGTCTGGTATTACTATCACATCTGTATTTAATATTCATTACAACTGTATTTAATGATATGCCTAGGGATGGGTATCATTAAGGTTTTAACGGTACTACTACTACTTTTATCGATACCGCTTATCGATCCGGCCTTTTAACGGTACTTTTATCGGTTCTTTTGGAGAAAAAAAAGGTAAACTAACTAAACATAATATTTCACATCAGAAGAAACAACATAGTTTTAACAAATCGTATTAAATAATCTGAAGACAGAACTGTAAACAGAATAGCTGAAACTTTAACAAACTAAATAACTCAGTTACCTCTAATCATTAACCCATGTTTGTATAATGTAGTTAACTCTCTGTGTTGCTGCAAGCATACATAATACCTGACATGGAAACATTACTCGTGGATGGGGCTACAGAGCTACTAGAAAGACAGTTGAAAACGGTGCATTTCTCCGTCTGAATGTGGTGCACTTTTGCGAAATGTTTCGACAAATTACTCGTGTTACCGCCCTTACATGCTAAACTCTTATTGCACTTTTGGTAACGAGCATTGTCCACATCGAGTTGGGTAAAGTTTAACCACACCGCGTTCTCTCCGCCATCTCCTCCGTGTGTGTGTGTTGCTGCATGTAGCAGCTGCGTGTGTGTAAACTGCCCCGCCCCCTCGCAAGCAGGCGGGGGAGAGAGAGATCTCTCGCCTGGATTGGAAAGATCAAAAATAATCATAGACGCATTTTGCAGACTTTTTGCGTATTAGAAACGGAGTTGGCAAAACTAAAACTGCAATATAATGTTTGTGTAGCAATAATACATATGACATATTTTTTACATGTCTCCAGTACCGATAAAAAGACCGATAACTTCGGAGCTTAACGGTACCACGGTCTTTAATAATTCAGCCCCGGGGCCTGTTTAATACCGGGGCTCGGTACCTATCCCTATATATGCCTAAACCCTGCACCTTATATGTATACAATTATAAATCTTAACCTTATCTAAAGATACTGATACATTTATGTACATTACTCCAACATTCTTTGTTATGTAAATATTTTGTAACCCTTAACCTCTTAAGCCCTGAGCCTGTTTTTAAGGTTTCAGGCTCGAAAATGCTATGCCCAAAACAAATGACTATAACTTAACTTCTAAAAGGGTTATATGAATAATTTCTTTTTTCAAAGCAAGGTTACACCTGTGAGTTGGATGTAGAAGTCTCAGAATCAATATAGATATTTCTCAGTCAGAGTAAATTCAGATGGAACATAGTAAAAAAAGGTAAATTCTTACCCCCGCCTAAAAAAAAAACATTACTTATAGTGAAAATTACCCTTGAATGATGGGATAGTAGACTAAAAGCTTTAGGAATCCAAAGTATAACATATAATAAGTACCCTGTATCAAGATTGAGGCAAAACAAGTTAAATTTGACCTTTTTAGAGAGGTTTAGCTAAAAGTAGTCCAGGCGGACCTTTGGGCACATTTGGGCACATTTGGATACCATCAGTGCCATTTCACCTTTTTCAGGTACCATACTGTAAAAATCATTTTATTATCACTACAGGTAATCATTCCATCCAAATACAAGTGTTTTTAAAAAAAAAAAAAATTATTTTTAAATTACATTTTTTTTGTATGTAAATGGTGTGTGTGTGTCTGTGTGTGGACTTTGCCATAGCCCTTACATGTTTATCACCCGACTAACACTTATAGGAAGGTTTACTTACACAATAACAATTAGGAAACACTTGTCTCTTGTCTTGAGCAGATTTATTTCAAAAATAACACAAAAAAACGACACTAAAACCAAAATAACACCACAAGCATTTTTTTTGTAAATACTGGCAAAAAAGAAAAAATGTACACAACCTGAATGTGTTTAGTGTTTTTGAATTGAGGCACCAGGCACTTAGTGCAGTAGATAGGTCTTCACCGTTGTGTTGCCAGCATCAGAGCACCTCCTGAGCGCGGTGGCATCTTCCCCATAATACTTGGGAATGCATACGAATGATGATGGGGGGGGAGTGGTGGTGGTGCTGCTGCAGGGACTTCACCCCTCACGTCTGCAGCAAGCTGCTCCCTGAAGGACTTCTGGGTGTGTGGCTTCGTCCTGCCGGGGTCACCCCTCATCTTGTGCAGCTCCTTGTGGAGAAGGAAGCTGTTCACCACTGCAATGTCCAGAAAATGGTAAAAAAAAGGTCTTGTACCATTTCATGGTTTTGTGGTGAACACTGTAGTACCCAATCAAAGCATCAGACACATCCACGCAGCCCATGCTTCTGTTGTAGTCCACCACAGCGTCAGGAACGGTAACAACCTTAGTCTTCCACACACCAGCCCGTTTCACTTTCCTCCTGACAGTCTGTCCACTGAATCAGAAGATGCAGAGGGAGGCTGAGTTAGTACTGGTGCAGACGTCCGGCGGCGTAGCTTGGATGTTGATGGCTCTGGGGCAACTGTATGCTGATCTGATGCACGTCGTAGCTCGGATGAGGCAGATGTTGATGGCTGTGATCCAGAAGCCATTTAATACTTGTCTTCATCACTGTGAAAACAAATGTGGAAAAAACAATTACTTTGATTACTTCACTGGCTTATTCTTTCAAAAATGTAACTCAAATCAGAAATAATTCCTCCATTTAGCGTGTGTGAAATAACAGTATACATATATATGTGTGTATACTGTTATTTCATATATATATATATACACTATAGCGTGTGTGAAATAACCGTATAGCCTACATATATATATATATATATATATGTGGAAAATGTTATTTCACACACGCTATAGTATATATATATATATATATATGTATACTGTTATTTTACACACGCTATAGTATATATATAGACTGATATACAATACAGCTTTATTTATAAACTGCTGTTAGTCTGTAGAACTACAAAACAGCATCCATTTGGCTTGTGTGGAATAACAGTATATATATATATATATATATACTGGGTTGATATACAATACAGCTTTATTTATATACTGCCGTGTTATAGTCACGAAATACAATTAATCTATTTATACGTTCACCAACATGATGTTGCCATTGTTTTAGTTTCTCACGGAAAGATAACGCTACAACAACAAAGCGGCGTCCATTTTGTATTTTACGAGTGTGGAATTACTATAGATTACACCAAATACACAACTAATAGATACAAACAGAGAGAGTACATACCTTTCCTGAAGTTCCTAATCAGGGTTGCCTGCTGTTGTCTCTGTTCGCTGTGTTGTCGCTTCGCTGTGTTGTGTTCGTTGCTGCTGTGCTGGAGCGGTTGTGCGGCTGCTTCTGCTCCGTCTGTGCGTAAAGCAGCCGCTGCTGGCATTATTCATACTACGCAGGATCCTATCTCTGGAACCCATTGGTCGATTTGGGTGATTGACACCTTTTTTGAAACTTTGGAGCCAATAGAATCGAGGGGGAGTTAGTAAACGCCGCTAAACACTTCCGGAGCGTCCACACAGCAGCGTGCGTTGACGCTTGGAGGTGGGCGTATCTGAAGCTTGGGGATTTTTTGCGAGCAACACGACCAACAACCAATCACATGAATCTCCCGCCCCCGACATACAAAGCAATAGCAATGTTAAAACGAAGTAAACTGGATATAAAATCCCCAAACAGGCGAAAACCTACCAGATTCACCCACTGTCTCTGCCTCCTCCCTCCATGCCTCGCTCCTCCGGTTTGTATCCCGGTAGATGAACAGAGACTGATCATACAGCACCGGGTGATTCACTACCGCTACAATGAATTTTCCCTCAATTTTTTGGAATATGAGGAAATGACCTGCGTAGTCTCTCCCAGCATACACGCGGTTTGATTGGCTAGCGATTGTACTGGCAGATTTGAATAAACGGGATTTAATTGGCTGACGCCTCCGTCGAGGCGTCAAAAGTTGAACATTGCTCAACTTTTGACGCCAGCTACGCCAGCAACGCTCCACGTCGCTTCCCAAAATGCAGTTCGGCTAAAAGTGACGTCACCCCATTCAAAGTGAATGGGCAGAAGCGTTGGAAGCTTCAACGCACGCCGCTGTGTGGACGGGCCGTCACTTCAAGGAGAGAGAGGCTCGCGTAAACAGCACGTGAGAAAGCCAAACCCCGGACTGCAAAACTTTATACCTACGATGCGGCCATGAATGTAATGATGGATTATCAGGAACAATTCTAAAGTGACTAAGAGACATTGGATTAACCTTGAGCAGCGTTTTTATTCCCTTGAACACGAATTTTGATCACAAAACAGCAACAGTAAGACATCATTATTGTTATGCTTTAGAACACTGTTGTTGTTTTCTTGCTCTGTTCTGGCTGCTCGCTCAGTGAGTTTGTGTCCTACAGTGATGATACTTATATAAAAATAATCTGTGATATGTAGTTTGTGCAGAAAATATTAAGTTTTAAAGATCGTTTTTGCTAGTTAGCACCGGAAGTAGCATCAGCCTGTTTTCACTAAGGGCTAATGCTAACGCTTCTTGTGAGACTTGTGTTTTGTTTCGGTAAAAATGGCTCATATCATTAGGTTGCTGAGTTTTTTCCCGTTATTTGAGTATAAGACATTCATAGGTTTTTAAATATTAAGAAGCCGCCAGACGCTGTCTCCTGCAGTGACGTGTTTTTCCGCCCGGTATCGGGGGGGCCGGGTTTAAGAGGTTAATGCACATTATTACTTGTTACACTTTCTGGTTGAATACAAACTGCATTTCATTGTTGTTAAATGTAATCAAATACATCCACTGTTCATGCTACCTACCAATGGGACCCAGAAGGCCATGCCCCATCCTTTGGGAAGCAGTAGGTCCCATCCAGCCCCCCAGGAGCTCATCTCATTTCCCACCTGCTTGCCAGGCTGTTGAACCAGCAGGATGGGGACTCTGCCCTGCGGAGGGGTTGGGCTCAGCCTGGAGCCCGGAACCAGCACCTCGTTCCTCATACGGTTCAACTCCTGAAGGAAATGCGAAGAAAATGCTTGAGAAATGACCAACCTATGCGATTATCTGTGCTTCCAGAGTTACAGATGCAAGGTAAATAACTGAGAGACTGGAAAGTACTGCATTACATTTCTGCTATTAACAAAATGATGGACAACCTGTTCGGATGTTTTGTTATCAGCGACGTTGCTGCGGACCGACTGCTCCCACAAGTCACTCTGACAGCAGAGTTCAGGAACTCCTTGCAACATCAGCTCCCTCCTCTTCTCGTCCATCTCTGAAACAAACACATACACAGACATGGCACAATCCTCTATGACCAGCATCATCATAAGTGTGAGAAGGACATATGAAGCTCTTTTTGACTGATTTATAGATGAAAAAAACCCATCCGGGTACTTTCCGTCTACGTCATGGTCAACCCTTTTTGGGTGAAAACATTAGCCGCGATGTGACTGCCGGTAAATACAGATTCTGAGGTTTTCGTTAATCAAATCAAAAAAGTAAGAATACCGTACCATTTTTGATCTACAAGGAACTCAAATACAAGATATATACTTAAATTAAAAACTATAGAGGATGGATGTCCTGTCATACGAGTGGACGAGTGGCAGGCAGCAGCTAACACTGAAACTGGGATTTTTCTTTGCTTGTCAGTGTTTTATATTCTAATGCAGTTAATATATATTCACCAGTTTTACTTTGAACACTACAAATGTTTACTCTGCATTTGATTTTAACCTTATTAGCATTATAGCTGCATTTCCCATACATATACAAGTATTGACTGACCGGGTCCCATTGATTACAATCTGCCACAGATCTCTTCTTCTTTTATTGTTTTTTCAAGTATATATAAATCGGAACTTTGGATATTTTCCTTGTTGACTTGCAATACAAAACACAGCATCTTTAAGGTATAATAAAACATTATTTTCCTGCTTGGGGCCAATTCTTTGTTTTCACCAGAAAGTGGGCCAGCCATTTTTTTGCCAGGCAGTAAGGTAACAGTCCTAAATATAAGTTCATTTATTGTTGCATCCTCATGTATGCAGGTCTTGCTAAGCTTAAATCTAATGACAATATCTTATTATAGTACAGAGTCTGGTAGAGATGGGATTTGAGAGAAAATGCTTTTGCAGTGCTTTCAGACATTCCTTTTCAAATTGTATAGGATTTAAAATCTTTGAAGAAAAAAAACTTGTTATCCTACCAATTATCCCAGTGGCTTTTACAGGTTTTACATATCATAAGGAATTTAATCAAACTGTCATAACAAGTTACAGATAACCCTGGTTAGTTCAAGCCGTGCCATATTATCCTTGCAGTCCTGCTTTTGCTAATCCCGCTCTTGGTTAGTGCTAATTGAAGAGACATTATGTTCCTGTATCCCAGAAGTTCTCAAGCTTTTGTAACTGAAAAACAAAACATAATTGTTCAAAATTAACTGGGCTGAGAATATTTGTAATGTATAAGGCAATACAAAATTATTCAGTGTACCCTCACCCGTCACAATTATGAAAACAGATTTAACGTAGTTTTGGTCATACATCATCACAACATGCTTAGAGCCTTAATTGGCCCATGTTTCTTTATTATTTGTGCATTTTCTTTTGTAGTTTTTTTTATGTGAAGTTATCTAAAAACAAAATTTGTATAAAAACAAAACATTTTTATTCGATCTAGCCATTTGGCATGAGAAGAGGTGTAAGTAAAGAAAGAAAAGGTGCTCTACTGAACGCTCTTAATATAATGTGGGCGAAAGTAAACAAGGAAGTGTGGAAGCATGGACATAAAGAATCAATGTAATGTAATTTGCTTCTTTTTTTTTTTCTTGACTGGATTTCCTTTGGTCTAATATTGTTGTACATTTGAAACAAGCAAACTATAAACAAAAAAACAGCGCAGTTGAAAGAAACCCCTTTTTTGTCAGCGAATCAGCTGTTGTGTGTCACTGAGGGTGTATTTGGAGTACAGGGTCCTGCCAGGATTCGAACCTGGAACATCTGCATGGCCAGGCAGAGGCCCCCCGGAGCACAGAACCAGATGTGTACTCACTGAAGCAACCTCATGACCACAACAACAGACTGATTCTACCTAAACTACAGAGACGCCTTATTTAAGGCTAAGGTTTCTGCTTGCATATATAAAAAGGAACATTTCATGCATCTGCACGCTGTATGACTTAGTCCACATAAGAAAAATAGAGGCTATGATTCCAGTCTGGGGAGATGAATTGTGATTGCATGTCTTATAACCATGTGTATGTGTAAATAAAGTGCCCACCCTCCTCCAGTGTCTGATAGGTCAGATTTTACCTTGTGCAGGCCTTACACAGGGCAAAGCTTTAACCTTCTTTGTTGGTAAAGTCAGCCTGGGGTCATCTACAGTCAGACCCAGCACTGTGCCTGAGGGCAGCTCTCCAGTCGAAAAGATGCCTGGATGAATTATACAGTCATGGTGAGATGAACATGCGCACACACATACCTAACCAGATGGCAATAAATGTATTACTATGTCGTAAAAAACAACTGTATTTTGATTGTGTGAAAATAAAAAATATCAATACACCTTTTAGTATATGAAAGACATGAGTTTGTTGTTGATGCAGGTTCATCTTGCTCTCGCTTTTGCATTGCTCAGGCCACCAGAGGTGAGAGGGCTTGGATATATTTATTTCCTTAAAGAAAAAAAAACATAGTTGTTTGGAGTTAAATGCGAGAACAGTTAAGAGGCTTTCTGCTTTCCATGATCCCAAGACTATAATTCTTACATTACAGACCGTAGCTGCTTCCATGGTTTCCGCCAGAACAGAAAAGGACTGTGGTCCAATCAGGCGATAGCGAACTATTTCCATTGTGAGATCACTGCAACAGAACCACAAGTAAAAACTCAAATATATCAATACTTTTGAGTGAAAATAATACATCCAAGCCAAATTGTATGTATACATCTTAATTACCTTCTATACGAACTACACTAACCTTATAACTATTCGATTTGAGCTGGAATTCCAGGTCACCGGGGTGCTGGGAGATCTGGTTCCATCTCCAAGAATCTTCTTGGCAGGAGGTCCACTGGCATCCTTACATTTTCGCTTTCTCTTGGTTTCAGTAATCTGCTTGGCATCGGAGGTCTTCTCAGGCTTTGGCTCCAATTGTAGGGTGGGAAAAACCTCAGCAGGTGTTACCACTGGAGGAACCACAGGGTCACAACACTGGCACACCATTTGTAACTCCAGAAGAAGGTCCTTAAAAGGAGCACACAGTGAATGGGAGACAAGGTTTAACTCCAGTAATGATCATAGCAACCAAAAGAAACCTTTCACTACAGATTGCATTTTTAACTCATTGTCAACCACCAAACCTGTTTAATAGTGGGATGAGCCCAGATCCACAGCTGCCTGTTGGTTAATTCCTGTGAACGGGGTCTCCAGAGGAAGGTGACAGGGCCCAGGGGCTGCGTGGGGTACTGTCCTGCTCTGTACACCACCACACTGCCCTGTCTGCGCCCTGATAGACACAGTGCTGCAGCAAAGGTGGGACCTGAAGTAAACCAAATGCTTTTAACATTGTAATTAAATCAATAACAATAAACTACTTTGATCAGATTGGGTGTTAATTAACAGTACACAGATTACCACTCCAAACTCAAAAAAGAAGAATTCATGTGGAAGATTAAAACCATATCCACAGTATTTTGGAGCATATAGTAAAAACCAAAAATGAAATTTGTGGGACTAAGGCTAGTCTCACCGGTCTCCTTGCCGGTCAGTTGTGAGAGAGAAGCCAGCAGCTTTTCTTCCTCTCCCCGAAGCTCTATGCAGCAATAGTAAGATAGGTCCTACGTTAACAAAAACAACAAATTCCAAATATTTAAAATGGCAGTGAAATCCTGTTGATTACAATCCTAATTTTGTTAGAAAAAAAAACAACACGCCCTCCATTTCAGTAAGGGTTACCTGTAGCAGGCAGTGGCCGCTCATTGCCCTGTGACAAGAGCGGTAGCATTTGTAGGTGGGCTTGTTCCCAAGGCAGTATCCCCACTTTTTAACCATGTGGAAGCGCTTGGCGTGCCAAATGTGCGTTTCCAGCCAGATGTTCTTTCTCTGGCGGCGGTTGAACTCCAGCAGCAGATTTCCGTGGCGGCGACGCGCCTTGCGGCTCTTCCTCTTTGCCTGTTCCTTCTTCTTCTTGGGGCCGGCCTGTAGGCTCCTTTCCCGCTGGAGGAGGAAAGAAACAGAAATGTCACTGTACTCAGAGATGGATAGTCTATGAAAAAAAGAGACAGAAAATGTTATGTAGAAGATTAAAAAGGGAATATTTTTGCTTTACCATTCTGTTAGCCACCTCTCTCAGTCTGCAAGGGAGGCGCTTGGTGTTGTGGCTCATGGCCCTTCTCCTCATGTGTTTAGGCAGGGCTCCAAACACATGGCAGCTGCCCGTTGTCTTGGTGACGGCTTTAAGCATGGTGCTTACCTCTTCCGCCCTGGCCCTGGCAAAAGCTCCAGCTGAGTAAGGATGGGAGCAGGGGGAAGGGTGGAGACACTACATTTTAAAATGGTATTAATCTGACAGTGAATTTGCAGTGTCCTTACTTCCACTTAATACCATATTTATATAAAGGCCAATCGGAAAGCAACAGGGTTGCAAAACAGCAGCGTTATGGATATAAAAGTAAAATGTGTTTATAAATTATGAGAGTAGGACATTGTCTTTACCTGTGATGTAATTGGGCATTTCCCTAGAGTAGCCCCCACCATCTTTCTGGTGTCCACGGACCCATCCACCCCGTTGGTGGGTGTTTGTCTGCCTTTTTGTAGAGGGATGGATGCTAGATGGACCCTCATCACCACCGCCACCTTAGGGAAGACAATTATTTTATCAGTTCAAGGCCACCATGTAAAATGTTGAATATGTCCATGGCTGGATTAACAATAATGTCAGACAACTGCCAGACGCTTGTCTGGAGGCAAATATTTTGTTATAGCTTGAGGAGTTTAAAATGTGTTTATAAAGCATGATAAAAACACAAAATCTGGTTTCAACTTAAAAAGTGACCAATTTATTTTGTATACCTATAATATTCCTTTTGTTATCATCATACTTACGCAACATTAGCACATTGGATTATTGTTTTGATTTCTTAGATTATTAAGTATCTCAAACCACCCAACTGTCACGCTGGGGTAAACTATTGTTACAACACAGAAGCCCACAGTACATCTTACCAAGAGCCGCGAGTTTATTAGACCATGAATGTTGCTCAGAACAGCATTACTGCATTTAGATCAACTCTGCCCCCACAGACAGTAAAAGCAGTGCCTAGGAGCGCTGACCATTCATATTCAAGTAAAAGAAACAGAGCTCGGCAGAGACATGAATAAATTACTGTTTATCTTACAGGATACTGATTTGCTGACACTGTAAAAAGCTGATCATGCATCAACAAGAGACGAGGTCATGGAGATAAAGAGAAGTGAATACAGCGGATACAGTATGACACAAACAACAAAGAAGCAGAAGCGCAGATCCAACAGAAGGCACAGTACCGTTCTGTGTGCCGCTCTCCACATACTGAACACTGGAGGGCTGGTTCCTCATCTTCTTCCCTCGCATCTTCACTTTAGCCGCAGACATTTTCTATAAAAAAAACAAAACAAGAACCACATGACTTGCCATAGTTGCTTGCTAACGTTAGCTACTATTCCAGGTCAGCATAACGCTTAGTTTGGGAGTTGGATTAAAAGGGGGGAAAACACAACATGCCCTTAAAACATTACGTTCATATAGTAACACAGCATGTGTTCACCTCTAGATTCCCCAGAACGAATGCACGGTGTTCAAGGTGTAGTTTTCTGTTTTCCACTTTGTTACAATTACCATGTGTATTTCTCTGACGAGAAACAGTCGAGTCTCACACATGTGCAGGGCTGCAGATCAGGTAGTGACTGACAAAACCGACGCTGGTCGGCTGAACGTTTGCTTCCGGAAACTACGGCACAATTCCGAACCGACCCCTACCCAATCCGTCTGTAGTCACACTCACAGCTGAATGAGGCTTCCTTTTTTGCAGACTGACTGTTAGAGAGCTTGACAACCCACTCCCATTAACCACTTGTTTGATTGGAACGGAACTTAATGTGGAGAACCCTCCACGCGAACGCCTAAACGGAGTGGAAGTGCGTAGGGGTACGGTGTAGGGTGCGGTTTCGAATTGAGCCCCAATGTACCTCCTCGACTCCTCTCTTCTCGATCACTTGACCCGGAAATCGATTGACACACGCTGACGCCATAGCCCATGGATGTAAAATGCCCCCAGGAATTTCCTTCCCTGAGAGACGGATTTAATGTCTGTCAGCAAGAACAGCTTTTTTCGTTTTACATGTGTATTTATTGTCATTTCTATTCACTCACAGCTGAGACATGAATTAGCTGATTTGGCTCAGTTTAACAGCCAACACAAAACAAGTGTAAGTGCCGTTACTTAATGTTATTTGTATACAACCATACCGTTACGGTAATGCATCATCTGTTCACATTTATTTAACCCACAATATTTCTGTTACGCTTTATCTTCTCTCAATTATTTGTATTTCTATTGTGCACTCAAAGAAATCTTAAACTGATGTTCGTTTATACATCTTAAGAATGGCTTTTATCTTTTTTTGAAAATTAGTTCTTATTTTATGTAATTTATTTTGGTCTACAACAGATGATACAACTGTTTGTATGTCAGTAAATGTGTAGCCTACTGTAACAGTGGCGGGGGGCTCGTGTGTGTGTGGGACAGAGCTGGCTGCATTACACATACATGGCTTTCAGATGATCAGCTGTGCCGGCGTCATCACAAACGGACGTCGCTTTACGTTCCGCTCCGAGGAGTGGCGAAGTCACGCCCATCTACTTCCGTTCCACGGGACCTTATTTCGGAAAAATAGTAGGCTTGTTTGAGACTGTTGTCACCATAGATATATATAAACACTAGATGACTCACCCGCGCTGCTGGCCAATGGAGACCGACGTTGCCACTTGGCCGCCATCTTGCTACAGGCAGTTCTCTCATTCATAACATTATTTTACTATTTAAATAACCATAGCTTGCTCAATTGTCAACCAATTTTCAAACGGTTTGGTTTTTTATAAACATCAAAGATGTAGTTATGATACTGCATACTTATAATCATGGACTTTCATATGAAAATAACATTAATCAGATAAAGCAATAGCTATACACACACACACACACACACACAAGGTATTTATATTAAATATTTGCCGGTGTATATATTTCCATTTATTTTTATTATATTGTTAATATTTAAAATAAATTATAAAATTAAAATACATTTATATTTTATATATAAAAATCGGTCTCATGTTACCACTCTGTAAGCCAAGAGTTGTTAATTTAGCAATGCCTTAGCTTGAAGAACAGGGACACAACTAATGACAATAGCATATGTTGGTATATTATTTAGATATTCACACCTTTATCAGAAGAACCAAACCAACATAAAATGTGCTCAGACAGGCCAGTGCTGTCTAATTTATCACAATTATTTTTGACATGAGATCTTCATATCATCCTAGTTTTGTATTTAGTTTCTAGATTTGTAAACAAATCCAGAACCTTTGAAATATGTCATTGAAAAAAGACCAAGAATAATATAAACTGTACCATGTGTCCTTTTGTGTCCTTCTGTAGTCCATTTGTGGTTTGTCTTGTCTCACCCCGGCTGATATATCACAAAATCCACTGTTTGAATTGTTCCCTATATTGCCCCTATGCCCCTGTAAGGTGTCCTTGGGTGTTATGAAAGGCGGCCCCCCAAAATAAATGTATTATTATTATTATTAAGAATAACAACTTGGTGTGGTGTGGAGGGGATGTAGGAAGCAGGAGCAGGTGGGGAGAGATGGGGCTTCAAGGTTCAAGGTTATTTGTTTTAAATGTGTCTTGGAGATAAGGACCAGCTGCACACAACAAAATACAGTATAACACAAAACCAATAAGACACACGGTGGCACATGGCACACCAACAATCAATCATCGTCCAGCCTCAGCTTTGGTATTCTTTCACAACCATGTTATGGGTTTATTAGACTGAGCAAACATAAACATATGTGGGGAACATAGTGCTGCGTCTCATGGAACCTGAATATGTCCCTTCTTAGGGCGAGTTCCCACTGCCTCCTCCTCTCTTCGGTTTTGGGAAACTTTAAAAACATGAGAAAGGTAGCCAGATATATAAATTATTGTCAACATTTTCCTCCCTTCTTTCCTTTAACATTAAGGGTAAGGACAAAAATACACACCGAAATTATCATATTTTTGGTATGTATGCATGTATGTATAGCCTACTTTAAGAATAAGACAACCACACTAAGAGTAATAAAAAAGGTGTCCAAAAGAAACATTCAATAATTGTGTAAAGAAATGGTAGCAACATATTCTAAAGAGGCTGGGTCAACAACAATCTTGCAATACTATTATCTCACATAGCCCCACTGATCCTGTGTAGCAGGACTTGTAATGTACATACATCCACTAAGTAATTAACGATTATCCTAATTTTAGTCATAATATTGTCATATCTTACACGTGAAAGGTGATCCCACGGGTTCTTGTTTGCAGACTGCGGTGATTAGAGCATCCGTAGGCTGCACAAAAGTCCGGCATAGTCAGGTACTTCTGTAAACACAAAGCCAGCAAATTCCTGTATCATAATGCAAGATGTTTTTAACAAGCCAAACCACTTGGAAGAAATCATGTGTAACTTAAGTTATGTTGAAAAGAAAGAGCAGTTCTGCCTCTCCCACTGGTGTAAAGTTGCTGGGTCAACTTTGTAATACTAGGTCTCACTCACAGCCTCTTGTTATTAGCCAGCTAATAAATACAACCACATACACAAGGAAAAGCTGCAATTTCAACATGTCCAAGCATCCTGTATCATAGCCATGCTAATAATGTTTATAATAAACCAAACCGTTTGTAAATCAGTCAAGATTTCAGCGAGTTAAGAGTATTTTTGTGCAGATCACTCACCTTACAACAGCTACCATAACGCGAATCAGAGTAACTGTGGACTGTAGCAAGATGGCGGCCGGTCAGCTACGCTGGAAAATCTCCCATGAGCCATCTAGTGTTTATATATATCTATGGTTGTCACTGTCACTACCCGATCTGCAGCTCTGCCCGATCTGCAGTGCGCATGTGCGAGATGGTCCGCCATATTGGACAACTCCGGACGGCAACCCAAGATGCACACTTGACACAGTGGCTTTTAGCAAAGCTCAAAAATAAAACGAGAGAGAGAGATGAGTTATTGTTATTACAACGTGACTTCACTGTTATTTAACAACTCTTTTTATGGGGTTATTTTATTTGGGGTTAAGTACATTGTCAGAATAAGTGAGAAATGGATTTAACTTCTGTTAGACAGCTATCATACTGAATACATATTTACTGTGAATGTGTGCAAAAATGTATGGCATATGGCTGTCTAACAGAAGTTACATTCATTTCTCACTTATTCTGACAATGTACTTAACCCCAAATAAAAGAACCCAATAAAAAGAGTTGTTAAATTATAGTGAAGTCACGTTGTAATAACAATAACTCATCTCTCTCGAGTTTTCCTTTTGAGCTTTGCCAAAAGCCACTGTGTCAATATTGTCCTACTTGGGTTGCCGTCCAGAGTTGTCCAATATGGCGGACCATCTCGCACATGCGCACTGCAGATCGGGCAGAGCTGCAGATCGGGTAGTGACTATCACTACCCGATCCGTCCCCCTGCCCGATCTGCAGTGCGCATGTGCGAGATGGTCCGCCATATTGGACAACTCCGGACGGCAACCCAAGATGGACACTTGACACAGTGGCTTTTAGCAAAGCTCAAAAGGAAAACTCGAGAGAGATGAGTTATTGTTATTACAACGTGACTTCACTATAATTTAACAACTCTTTTTATTGGGTTCTTTTATTTGGGGTTAAGTACATTGTCAGAATAAGTGAGAAATGAATGTAACTTCTGTTAGACAGCCATATGCCATACATTTTTGCACACATTCACAGTAAATATGTATTCAGTATGATAGCTGTAACAGAAGTTAAATTCATTTCTCACTTATTCTGACGATGTACTTAACCCCAAATAAAAGAACCCCATAAAAAGAGTTGTTAAATAATAGTGAAGTCACGTTGTAATAACAATAACTCATCTCTCTCGAGTTTTCTTTTTCAGCTTTGCTAAAAGCCACTGTGTCAAGTGTCCATCTTGGGTTGCCGTCCGGAGTTGTCCAATATGGCGGACCATCTCGCACATGCACACTGCAGATCGGGCAGAGCTGCAGATCGGGTAGTGATAGTCATAGATATATATAAACCAAGCGGCAAACTGTGGGGTAGAGCCGGGAAGCCAATACGGTAGTGCCACACACTGCAGTTCATATATTGGCCGATAGGCGATGGCTGCAGAAAGGAGCAATTTCCATAGACCCCCATGTTAAAATGCCCAACTTTACAGCAGAAAAAAACATGTTTCTACACCTGGCTCCAGACATTTTTATTATCGATATAGTTAGATTCCACCTTCATGATTATGGATCTGTGAGTGAATTGTTTTATAACACGACCCTTTTATTTATATTAGGTCTTAAAGTTTGTGCATAAATTAGGGCGTGGTCACATTGAGTGACGGCTCTGTCAAGTGCCTGCCCAAGCGGCAAACTGTGGGGTAGAGCCGGGAAGCCAATACGGAAGTGCCACACACTGCAGTTCATATATTGGCCGATAGGCGATGGCTGCAGAAAGGAGCAATTTCCATAGACCCCCATGTTAAAATGCCCAACTTTACAGCAGAAAAAAACATGTTTCTACACCTGGCTCCATACATTTTTATTATCGATATAGTTAGATTCCACCTTCATGATTATCAGTGGCGGCGGGTCATTAGGGGCAGGTGGGGCACAGCCCCACCTAGTGTCAGAAGAAAGTATTACAAATAATGATTACAAAAAAATACTAAAAAATAAATAAAAAAACATATAAAATATATTTTAAGGTCATGTTTAATAATCTGATTCGTCTGTACATTTCTGTTTTAGTCTGTGTTCTTCTAATTAGTGTCTAGAGTGCCGTTTTGAGCTGTTTAGAGCCATGTGGGACAAAACCCGATCCTGCCCCTCCCTCTCACAGTCTAAGTGAACGGTGATTGTAAAAACTACACTGCGCATGCTCAGAGTATTTTTCTATTTAATGTGTGTGGCAAAAAAATAATGACCGTAGGGGCATAGTGCTCCCATCCCCACCATACGTCATCTCACATAATTCAGAATTGATTGGCTGTAAGTACTCACGTGTGCAGTGCTGCGAAACGTCACGTGTAGTTTGAAGAGGAGACGAGAGAGCAGCATATAGCTAACATCACCAGCGATTAAAAGAAGTAAAAAACTGAAAGAAAATGAATGAAGTTGACCATTTACTGGAGCACACATTTGAGACACTTAGTCTCTGAGAGAAACTGGAGGTAAAGCGCCTCGGTGCCCACCATCCACCGGATTTCCAAATGGTCCAGACTGCGGGCAAAGTTAAACGTGGGTTTAAATCTGAGTGGTTTGCTAAAAAGAAATGGCTAACGGCGAGCATCCAGAATAATTCCCTCTTTTGCTTTCCTTGCCTGCTTTTTGGTGAAGATCAATGTACTTGGTCGAGGACAGGTTACAAGGACTTAAAGCATCTTTCGGAGAGGACAATGAAGCATGAGAGCAGCAACAGTCATTTGGAAAATGCCGTAAAATTGGGATTACTTGGAAGGGTGAATGTTGCAGCTCAGATTGACAGCGCCTACAGACGCGGCATTGATTCTCATAATAGGAAGGTGGAAGAAAACAGGTACGTGCTTGGTCGGATCATCACCTGTATTAAACTGTGTGGGAAATGTGAGACAGCACTGCGGGGCCACAACGAGTCGGCGGACTCTCTGAATCCAGGGATATTCAGGTCAATTTTCGAGACAATGTGTGAGGGCGATTCCAGGCTTCAACGGCACTACGAAGCTCAGCTTGTTTTCAAAGGGACATCAAGCACCATACAGAATGAACTCTTGGACTGCATGTATGATGTGTACAGGGAGGAAATAGCCAAGCAAGTGGACAACACATCATTTGTTGCCGTTCAGGCCGACGAGACAACCGATGTCTCCTGTAAATCGCAAATGGTGATTGTGCTGCGATACATTATGCCTGACCTCACAGTTACAGAGCGTTTTTTGGAGTTTGTGGAAGTAAAGGACAAAACTGGTGTAGGTCTCTCTAACAGCATCAAGGCTGTTCTGGAACCCCTGAAGCTGAAAGAAAAGCTAATCGCTCAGACCTATGACGGGGCGGCCGTCATGAGCGGTAACGTGCGCTGGGTACAGACGGTGATGAAGGAGACGTACCCAAACGCTCAGTTTGTTCACTGCTACGCCCACCAACTGAACCTGACCCTGCAGCAACTGTGTTCAGCAAGGATGAGCATCCTGAAGGTGTTTTTTGCAGATCTAACTGCTTTTTCCACTTTTTTCTCCGGTGCTCCAAAACGTGTTGCAGCTCTTGCAGAGGCAACACAGAGACGCATCCCACGGCCACCGGCTGTGAGATGGAACTTTAAAAGCAGAACTGTGAACGCGGTTTGGGAGACCCGAGATGCACTACTTCAGTGTATGAAGCATATACGCGCACAACCAGGATGGAATGCGGTCACCATAAGTGAGGCATACGGCCTGTCAAAGAAACTGCGGGACCGAGCATTTATGCAGCTCCTGGAGTTTTTTTCGTTGCTTATGCCAGAAGTGGATGTTCTATACAACACTCTGCAAAAACGAAGCATCGATGCACCTGGGATCAACAGCGCGCTCTGCCGTTTCAAGGAAAATGTTCAGAAAATGAGGCAGAAAACTGATGCATTGGCCGCCACTGCTCATGATGGAACAGACGAGCCAGGCCGACGAGTCAGCAGCACAGCGCCGGTGATGAAGGAGGCTTGTGACACAGTCATCTCACAGGTGGAACAGAGGTTCTCACAGAGTGACCATTTGATCGCTGCAAAGCTTGTTGACAGCTCATTCTTCCCACAGCATGTCCTGTCATTTCCTACACCTGAGCTTAACTGCGCCGTGAAACTGTGGCCTGCGTTGGGAAACAAGGAGAAGTTGAAGTCTGAGCTGACCACGCTCTACCGCCACAGTGAGCTTCACACTGGAAACACTGCCCTGTCTCTGTTGAAATCCATTCACGAGAACAACTTGGAGGAAACGTTTGCTGAGACTGTTATTTTGGTCAAAATAATAGTGACAACTCCGATGACGACATCCGAGTCAGAGAGGAACTTTTCCACCCTCAAAAGGATAAAGACTTTCACTCGCAACACCATGGGACAGCCGCGACTTAACGCATTGGCCATGCTTTCAATTGAAAGCCAGTTGATCCAGCAACTACAGGACTTCATCCCCAAAGTGATAGACACATTCTGTCAGAGGAAGGACCGCCGTGCCGCTTTTCTTTTCAAGTGAGCCTTCAGCTTTGGTAAGTTCATTTATGTCATATATTTTGTTGATCTTCTGTGTTTTGCCTCTGCTGGATCGATTGATATTGTGACCTCGATGATGAGTGTTTTCCT